GGCAATCCACTCATCTCAGCCTCCCAAAGCGCGGGATTACAGGCTGAGCCACTGAGCCCGGCTCAGATAAAATCTTTAAAGTTTGTTCATGTGTGGTTCCAAATGTTCATTCCTTTTTTTTTTTTAATGAGTTGGAGTTCTCACCCTGTTGCCCAGGCTGGAATACTGTGGCATGTTCACAGCCACCACAGCCTCGACCTGCTGGGCTCAGGTGATCCTTCAGCCTCAGCTTTCCAAGTAGCTGGAACTACAGGCATGCACTACCATGCCCCAGCTTATTGATTGATTGATTGTAGAGATGAGGTCTCACCAAGTTGCCCAGGCTATTCTCGAACCCGTGGGCTCAGGCAGTCCTCTCACCTCGGCCTCCCAAAGTGCTGGGATTATAGGCATGAGCCACCGTGCGCAGCCCCAAATGTTCCTTTTTTACTGAAGATTTGAGATCTAGATTGGCATTAGAAATGTTTAACATAATCACAACTTAAAATAATCATGATGGCTGTCTCTGTCAGCATTCCTCCTGGACCACACTGATCTGTTGGCTTTCTTCCTTTCTCTGTGCCTGGGTTCAGCCTGCTGCCACAGCCCCAAAGTAGTGGGTAGCCTGCACATGGGCCCTCAGAAATCAGCTAGGCATTTAGAGCCTGGTGTTTTTCCTCCTAGTTTGAATGTGATTGAATATGAATGCCTTGTTAGAGCTTTTATCGGTGGAGACATTCATAGTTAAATAGGGCTTTTTTGGTGTGGCTTCAAAGTAGTGGTTTTCAATCTTGGCTATACATTAGAATGACATTAGAATGACCTAGGGATATTTTAGAAATACAAGGCCTAGGCCCCACCCCCAGAGATTTCTGGTAAAATAGGTCTAGGTGGGGTTCCGGCATTCGTCTTTCTCACCAAAAAAAAAAAGAAAAGAAAATTTCTTGGCCGTGATGTCATCCTCTCTTTGCAGTGAGTGCTGCAGAGAGCTGCTGGACACAGTAGATAACTATGCCGTGCTCCAACTGGATATTGTATGGTGTTACTTCCGCCTGGAACAACTGGAATGCCTTGATGATGCTGAAAAAAAATTAAACTTGGCCCAGAAATGCTTTAACAATTGTTACGGAGAAAATCATCAGAGACTAGTCCACATAAAAGTATGTTACTGTAATTTGTTTTCCATATCGAGTCCATTTCTAGAATTTGTATTTATCTGTGTTAAAATATTTAGACTACTGCCAAAAGGTGATTTTATTTTGATAGTGGTATGTGATATACTCTTTTTAAGCTATATTTTTATAAAGTGTTAAGTGTTTTATAAATCTGGCTGTTTCTTTGGTGTGTGAGTGTTTAGTCCAGAGGAACATGGTTTTCTTGTCATAGAATCTCACTAGTGGTCATTTTGACCAGGAGAGGGCTGCAGACTTACTTGTGTTCAATAGAGTATAATTTGCAAGTTGTCATTGCAGAAAATAGACATTTTAACAGTAACAGTTCACTTGACTGAGTTACAGCTCTTGAGTAAGGATTTTTCTGTGATTTCCACAAGTCACCAAATACCTGTTTTAAATGTTTGCTTTTCTACTGACCAAAAGGGCCACTGGATATCTGGAGGCTGGTGCTCTGACACTGTTTTTTCTCCTGTGTAGTATGGGGAATTGTTGGGAGAGGGGGCACTTCACTTTTGCCATCAGTAATAGTGAAGCTACAGACATTTTAGTGCTACCATGTTGCCTCTGTAGAGACAAAGGGAATTACAGATAGGAGTATTATAGGCCAAGTGTGGTGGCTCACTTCTGTAATCCCAGCTCTTTGAGAGGCAGAGGCGAAAGGATTGCCTGAGCCCAGGGGTTTAAGACCAACCTGGGCAACTTGGTAAGACCTCGTCTCTATAATAAATTAAAAAATTAGCCGTGTATGGTGGCCTGTGCTTGTGATTCCAGCTACTTGAAAGGCTGGAAGACTGAGGTGGAAGAATTGACTGAGCCCCACAGGTCGAGGCTGTGGTGACCATGAGTGTGCCATTGCACCCCAGCCTGAGCAACAGAGTGAGGCTCCAACTAAAAAAAAAAAAAAAAAAAAAAATGAGTATTATAGAATTGTAATTAGAAATAAGGCAGTTTTATTCTTTTTCCCCCTCAATCATTTTAGGGAAATTGTGGAAAAGAGAAGGTACTGTTTTTAAGACTCTACTTGCTTCAGGGAATTCGAAACTATCACAGTGGAAATGGTGAAGAGGCTTGTGAGTATCTCAACAAGGTAAGGAAAGTCAAGTTGTAAGTATTGTTACCTATTTTAAAAAAATCTCCAGATGTTAAGTATTTTATCCATTCAGTACTTTGTGACTTGGGAGAAACGTGTCTCTCTCTCCTGTTCCTTCTTCCTTACATATACCATAAACATATTTATATTTGTTAGGGTACAATCTAGTGTCCATAATAAGGAAACTTCAAAAAGACAGTGACTTGAATTGGATAGAAGCTTGTGTCTCATCTCCGCGGGCTAGAGGTGAGCTGATCAGGGCAGTGGAACAGCCACACCAGCCTGAGCATGTGGCATCCCAGGTTGCTCCTCTCCTCCAGTTGAAGAGGGGACGAGAGAGAGCAAGCCTCTTGAGAGATGACCCAGAAGTTGCACCCAACACTTTGGCTACATGCTATTAGCCTAGACTCAACCACCTGGCTACACCTAGCTGCAAGGGAGGGTGAGAATTGCTTTGTGCCCAGCTCAGATTCTGGGGCTTTTATTATAAAAATGAAAGGGATAATGGATACCAGTCATTTGCACAGCACCTCGCCTATTCACTCCTGTTGTATTATGGGTAAGTTATGTGAGCAGAGATAGTGTTGTCTGTTCCCATATGTACTTGTTAAAAATAGGTCAGATTTAGAGATTTTATCTCAAATCTGACAACCTTAATTCACGTTGTGTATAATCTAATTTCTTTTAGGCCTTCACTTTGTGTTAAGCTTTAATGTGGCTATAATTACATGATTCTTCTATTTCTCCCTGTCTATAGGCACGTCAGCTCTTTAAAGAGCTATATATTGATCCATCAAAAGTTCACAATCTGTTGCAGTTGGGATTTACTGCCCAGGAAGCCCGGCTTGGCCTAAGAGCATGTGATGGGAACGTGGATCATGCAGCCACGCATATTACCAACCGCAGAGAGGTACCCTCTTCACGTGGTCTCAGCAGTGCTTGAGTGAGGCCTGTGTTTCTGAGGCAGTGCTGAAGCTTGAGACAATAGCAAGCCTGTTTCCAAAGTGCCTTAGCTCTCTTGGGTATGACAGAACAAAAAAGATAATCCCATAGGAGATGTTAATAACAGGGAACTCTATCACTTGGGACAGAAAAGGAAGGAGAAACTTGTCTTTTTTAACTACGTCATTTTCTAATGGAGTTATTTCTGCTACTGTGGTGGCAGATAATACAAATAATCTTTCTCTTTTTCTTAATGTGATAATGTATTTCTGGAATTTTTTTTTTTTTTCTTTTATTTTTTTTATTTATTGCAGAGATGAGGTCTTGCCAAGTTGCCCCAGCTAGTCTCGAACCTGTGGGCTCAGGCATTCCTCTCACCTTGGCTTCCCAAAGGGCTGGGATTACAGGCGTGAGCCACTGCACCCAGCCTGGAATCATTTTTAAAAGGGGCTGTGTTTTTCCATGGAGTCATTCATTATTTTAGTTGGGGGGTTGCATTTTTGCCTAGAAACATGAATCAGGTCATAGAAATGAGTAGCATTATGTTGTGAAAGCACAGGTAAAAAAAACTATAATCATTTAAAACAAGCACATTAAAGGAAACTTTAGAATGTTAGAAGGAGCCTTATCATATCCGGTATGTGAGTTTTACAGTATAGGAACTGAGGTCTAGATAGTTACTGATGGAATATCAGCAGTAGGACCATTTTTCTTCTCTCCAAAATAAGCAGTTGGTACTAGATTATCTCACAGATCACTTCTGGCTGTAAACCTCAACCATGGCAGTCTCTAGAATCTTCTCATTTATATATTCTCTTATTTCCTTTTGTTGCTTAACACTTGGGTAATCCTGAAGAAAGAAAGCACCCAAAGGGGGCAGGAAACCCCAGTGGTCATCTGCTTGGTGCTGAGGTGGAAGCGAATTCCTGGGTTGATTCCGTGGTGACCAGCCGAGGGACCTTTTCGTTTTCTCCTTTTCTGACATCAGCTGTTTTAGTTACTTCTCTCTCTTTCTCTCCAAGTCTGCCCTTGACTGCTCTCCTAATCATGGTCTGTTGGGTCTGGCTGTAGAAGCCAATGAGTAGGTAAAGGCAAAGACTTTGAAAAGCTAAACTTTGTGTTTGCATTTTATGTAGTCTGAGTCAGTACTAACAGGAAAGCAAACATCGCTGATACAGCGTTTATTACTTTACTGTTACTTTATTACTGATTTTATTATAGCCTTTGGAAAGCCAGTGATTTAAAATTAGGTTGCTGAAAAATAATTCTCATTGTTATATAAGACTTTATAGTTCATAAACCATTCTCACAATCATGTCATTCATTTCTGCCTGTGACCATCTGTGAGGCCAGAAGAACAGATAATTCTAATTTTACAAATGAGGAAAACTGGCTCAGGGAGGACTTCTAGAGTGTAGTGGAATCATATCATATGTACATTTCTGAATTAAGCTATAAGTCTTAGTGGAAATGCAGATAAAAAGCAATAGTGTGGCTGGGTGTGGTGGCTCATGCCTGGAATCCCAGCACTTGAGAGGCAGAGTCAAGAGGATTGCCTGAGCCCAGGGTTCAAGACCAGCCTGGGCAACTTGGTGAGACCTCATCTCTACAATAAATAAAAAAATTAGCTGGGCATGGTGGCGTGCACCTGTAGTTCCAGCTACTTGGAAGGCTGAAGTAGAAGGATCGCTTAGCCCAGCAGGTCAAGGCTGTGGTGGACATGAGTGTGCCACAGCACTGCCACTCCATTCTGGGCAACAGAATGAGACTCTGACTCAAAAAAAAAAGTATATAGTGTAGTTGATCCTGCTCATTCTTCTACCCAGTGACTGTATATTAGTTAGGATGCTTTTGGTTGAAAGTTACCCAAAAAAATCGGTTGAGATTTATTGGCCTACTTAATTGTAAAAAGTCCATAAGTGGGATGGTCTTAGGGTTGCTTGATTCAATGGCTTACTGATGTCGCAGAGGACCTAGTGTTTGTCTGCCTCCCCTCTATGTCACCAGTGTCATCCAGTCACACCAAGGGCAGTAGTGTCTGGCTCAGTTCTTAGTGAACGTCATAAGCTTCTCGCTGATTAGCTACTCTTGAACCAATCACTGAAGCCAGGGAAATGCTGAATGCCAAGACCTGATTGGCTTAGACCTGTGGCAAAAGATACAGGTTTACTCTCTTAGCTTGGATCATTCAGGGCCTATGTGGGGAACTGGATCTGCCTCCCATACATCTGGGAAGGTAAAATGGGTTTTGGAAAGACAAATACAATATCCCACAGAATATGTGCTTCTCTCAGTTCCTGAGGCTTTAGGTTTGAGTATTTGCTGACTGAGCTGAATGTAGTATATACTTATTTTTTTTTCTTTCTTTTTTCTTTTGAGTCTGAATCTCACTCCATCGCCCAAGTGCAGTGACATGCTCATGGCCACCACAGCCTCGAACTGCTGAGCTCAGGTGATCCTTCCACCTCAGCCTTCCAAGTAGCTGGAACTACAGGCATGCGCCACCGTGCCCAGCTAATTTTTTAATTTATTGTAGAGATGAGATCTCGCCAAGTTGCCCAAGCAGTCTCGAACCCATGGGCCCAGGCAATCTTCTCACCTCAGCCTTCCAAAGTGCTGGAATTATAGGCGTGAGCCACCAAGCCCGGCCAGTATATACTTCTTAAAAGTTTGTATTTTTTGTGCAACATGACTCTGAGTACAGGCCAGTTTCTTATCTGGCAAAAGAAGCTAACGATAGAAACTGAGGTCAGTCACAGATAGCGCCACAGTATGATGAGGCCAAGAGAGGCAGCCCTCCTAAGAAGGTTTTCCAGCATGTCATGACCATACAGTGCTTGTAGTGTGAGGTCTGATTCTGCTGTAGCCAGAAAGTATTTCAGTGTGATACTCGCTATCATTTGTTTGGTCTCTTTTACCCTATTAACTCTTCCTATTAAAAACAGGAATATCAGAAAATACTTTAAATTTCTCATGTGTATCTAATTCCCCAGCCTGCCCTCGGGAGCAGCGCCCATGGCTCTCTGCCCTTGCTTTCCTGCCGTTTGGCTGACTGAGGAGTAGTAGATAGAGGGCCCCCCACCCACTTCTTTGGTTTTTCTGCTTTACCTGGCAATTCCAAGAACCCTACATAGTTTGAGGGGCTTTCTGTGGAATCTCAACCCCTAACTCGGTGTGGGACTTTGCTGTTTTCCTAAAGGAATTGGCCCAAATAAGGAAGGAAGAAAAAGAGAAGAAAAGAAACCGCCTGGAAAACATCAACGCCCTGAAGGTGATGGGCTACTCCACGCAGGCAGCCAAGCAGGCGCTCCATCAGGCCAGCGGGAACCTGGATGAGGCCCTGAAGGTAATACTCCTTCGGGGCCTCTAGCCTTGTCCGGGAGCAGTGGATGGCATCCTGCCCAGACCCTGCCTCCGGGTTGACCTCACTGCCTCCACGGCTCTCTAGTGCCTTTCTAGGTTCAGGGAACCCAGTCCTATAGACCTTCTTCCTCATCCTGGTTTGGATCTGAGGGTCAGCTCTCCTGTGCTCCAGTCTTGACACAGCCGGATGATGGGCCCCATGCTCGATGCCTGGCCCAGGACTCCAGGCTCAGGAATGTGATGTGTACCCACACTGGCAGAGTCTCCAGGCCAGGACTTTGTGTAGGGTTTTCCATGTGCAGCAGAAAGAGCTTAACGTGAATAGGCACTTCCACAGCAAAAGAAGGGAATGGTAAGTTTTAGTATAATTTTTTTGAAACAATTTTTTTTTAAGAGATGGGGTCTCACTCTGTTGCCCAGGCTGGAGTGCGGTGGCACGATCACAGCTTGCTGCAGCCTCGACCTCCTGGGCTCAAGTGATCCTCCCATCTCGGCCTCTTGAGTAGCTGGACTATAGGGGCCTTTCAAATTAATCTTCAGAAGTGCAGAACAGGTTGAGGACCCGAGCAGTATAACTTTTTTTTTTTCTAATTATTTATTTATTATTTATTTATTTATTGTAGAGATGAGGTCTCGCCAAATTGTCTGGGCAGGTCTCGAACCTGTGCACTCAGCCAATTCACTCGCCTCCGCCTCCCAAAGTGCTGGGATGACAGGCTGAGCCACCAAACTCGACTCTGAGTGGTTTCTTTTTTTTTTTTTTTTTTTGAGTTGGAGTCTCACTGTGTCGCCCAGACTGGAGTGCAGTGGCCGGTCCCGGCCACCGCAGCCTCGACCTGCTGGGCTCTGGCGATCCTTCCGCCTCAGCCTTCCAAGGAGCCGGAATTACAGGCATGCGCTACCATGCCCGGCTGATTTTTTTTTTTATTTGTTGTAGAGATGAGGTCTCGCTGCCCAGGCGGGTCTTGAACCCGTGGGCTCAGGTAGTCCACTCACCTCAGCCTCCCAAAGGCGCGGGATTACAGGCTGAGCCACCGAGCCCGGCTGAGCAGTATAACTTTACCTGAGTCCATTTCCTTTACCATTGTTCAAGTAGATTGAATCCTTAGTAGGAGCTGGTGCCATGCTGCATCTCAACAGCTTGGTGTGGGACCCACCTTTAGCCGTTGGGAGCCCACAGTTCAGTGGGAGACAGGTGCAGTTAGAAAATGTGGAGACAGCAGCCATCTGGGTGAGGCAGGGGCAGTGCGGCAGACTGGAGGCCTGGACCAGCAGGATTCCTGAGGAGCTGGCTTAGGTTATGCACTTATACCCATATGGGGTTCACAGGGTGGGGGGAGTGTGGCCAGAGACGAGATGGGCTACACAGGTAAGCAGGGGCCAGTGGGCACATGTCACCTTGTTTGCCTGTTCAGGAGGGTGGCCTGCCTGGCCTTTGCCCTTTAGTCCTGCCTTTTCCTCAGAAAGCCCCACAGGTCAAGGTCAGTATTTTTGTTATATATGTGTGTGTGTGTGTGTGTGTGTGTGTGTGTGTGTGTGTGTGTGTGTGTATTTTTAAATTTAAGAACGTTATTTGAATATCTAGTTTGATTTTTGTGTGCTTGTGTTGGAGAACTATAAAAGGGGCAGGAGATTCTGAATATCTGAAATGACTGATGGGGCTCAAAATTGGTTTGTTTTTTTTTTTTGAGTTGGAGTCTCACTCTGTCACCCAGACTGGAGTGCAGTGGCTGCTCACGGCCACCGCAGCCTCGACCCGCTGGGCTCCGGCGATCCTTCCGCCTCAGCATTCCAAGTAGCTGGAACTATAGGTGCGCGCTACCACGCCCAGCTAATTTTTGATTTATTGTAGTGATGAGGTCTCGCCAGGTTGCCCAGGCAGGTCTCGAACCCGCGGGCTCAGGCAATCCACTCACCTCAGCCTCCCAAAGAGTGGGATTACAGGCTGAGCCACCAAGCCTGGCTCAAAATTGTTTTTAATTATACAAGTAGTACATAAATACATTCAGCCAACATAGACGAATTTAGTGTTAGAAGGGAAATTCCCCAAACAGCTTTTTAAAGCTAAGAGTAAGTATTGTGTGACAAAGAAATCAAGGATCAAAGGAATTTTACTTCCTACTTGACATTTTAAGCCTAGAGGACAAGGACATGATGTCTTCAAAAGACAAATTGGATCAGGTGCGGTGGCTTAAGCCTGTAATCCCAGCACTTTGGGAGACCGAGGTGAGAGGATTGCCTGAGCCCATGGGTTCGAGAACAGCCTGGACAACTTGGTGAAACCTCATTTCTACGATAAATCAAAAAATTAGCCGGGCGTGGTAGCACATGCCTGTGCCTGTAGTTCCAGCTACTTGGAAACCTGAGCCAGGATTGCCTGGGCCCAGTAGGTGACGCTGGGGTGACTGTGAGCATGCCACTAACACTCCAGCCTGGGCGACAGAGTGAGACTCCAAGTCAGAAAAAACAACAAAGAAAACCCAAATTGGGCAACCCCAAACTGCTTAAAAATTCTTTCTGTTTATAGCTTTGTATGGCCTTTAGCTCGTAAGTCTAAGCTCAGACAAAACCTCCGTTTTCCTGGCGTCTTTCCACCTGCGCTCCACCTTCCTGCTTGGTGGGGGAGGTGATCTTTTCCCTCACTAACCCTGCTCCTCCTTCAGACCTCAGCTCTGACACCACCTTGGGCTGGCGGCCTTCCATGGGCACAGCCTGAGTGGGAGCCCCTTCTCTGCTTCACAGCACCCTTTGCAGAATCCCACCACAGTGCCTGCACTTGTTTGTTTGTCCTACAAGTGGCAGAGGACGGCTGGCTCTGCCTAGCACATGGCAGGTGTGCAGTCTCTGCGTGGAGAGCTGTTAGTGAGGAGTAAAGGGTGTTCCTGTGTGTTCTAGATTCTTTTCAGGAATCCTCACATGTGGTGGTTAAATAATCCTGTGGTTCCGGCTGATCCTGAAACCAACCACCATCAAGAAAGTCCTTCCCAGGAAAACATTGACCAAGTGAGTGACAGTGCCTTGGTGCCCTCGGCTCAGACAGCCTCGGGTGGGGCTGGTTGGGTGACTGGAGTGGTGGGAGGACTGAGTGAGTCTGTGCTGAAGCCTTGGCTCCCAGGCCCCGGGTGTGACCTGCCCCCCTGGGAGGCCTGCCCAGCACCTGGCAGTAGAGGGTAGAGAAGGCGGAGTGGGAAAATAAGAAAGCATTGGGTGGTTTGTCCTCCTTCAGATTTGCCTCCTCTGTTTTCTGTGTTCCACTACTCACATCGGCCCCATTTCTCTGCATTTCAAGACATGTCACTGAGTCCTATGAAACCCATCTAGCTTTGTGTCCCAAGTGACAACTCCATCTGCCTTTGCTTCTCCCATAAGTTAGTATGCCTCTTGCATGTGGCCACATAACTAGTAGTGCTCGTGGTTAGGTTGGTGACTTTGCTGTCAGCCCAAGGCAATCATCTGTCCTGAGATGACGTGCACTGACCCATTCTACTTGAGGCTTCAAGATCCTTTCCAGGTTGCTTCACAGTCAACTGTGCTGAAGTGTGACTTGTACAGAAAGGGCCGTGGTGTGCACGCCAGGAACCCTTAAAAATGAGACCAGGCTGTCGGCCCATGGGGATGACAAAAGCACTGGAGGTGGAATGGAGGTCATACCCCTATGTGTTGTCCTCTAGCTGGTGTACATGGGTTTTGACGCAGTGGTGGCCGAAGCTGCGTTGAGAGTGTTCAGGGGCAACGTCCAGCTGGCAGCTCAGACCCTCGCTCACAATGGAGGAAGTCTTCCCCCTGAACTGCAGCTCTCAGCAGAAGACTCTTTGTCTACGCCATCCACGTCCCCTTCAGATTCCGCAGGTAGGTTTGCAGTCTCTCAGTGCCGTGTTGAGTAGAGTGTTCTGTGACATCGGATGGTAGCAGATGAGGCCTGTGCCCTAGGCCGAGGGGGACATGGAGACTGAGAAGAGCACTTCCTGACTGTGGCCGGCAAGAGAACAGTCTGAGGTTGACTTTGGTTGTGCAATATCCTGAGCACTGTTCTCTTTAGCTAACTTCCTTGTTTCTGCAATATTCTATCATAGGAACCTCCAGTGCCTCGACAGATGAAGACATGGAGACGGAGGCTGTCAATGAGATTTTGGAAGACATTCCAGAACATGAGGAAGATTATCTTGACTCAACTCTGGAAGATGAAGAAATTATTATTGCAGAGTACCTATCCTATGTAGAAAATATAAAGCCAGCAACAAAGAAAAACTAAGTAATGAACAGAAATAAGTACTAAGTTTCTGCTTATAAATGCTATTGTTATGAAAGGTCTAATGCAGGTCTGCTTTTTGTTCTCCTTTTTGTCTGATCTTGCTGCTAGCGGGCATCCTCTTTGGGTGTAGGAGGGGGGTTGGACAGGGAGTCCTGGTCCTGAATAGGTAGTTTGGGGAAGGTGCTTCCTCTGGCCTGTTTTGGGCTCCCGGTTCTGCTTCCCCAACCCCATCCCTGTGTGGTTTTTACCAGGAATGAGAAGGAGACTCACTGCTGGAGAATGGGGTGCTCCCTGGGGAAGGCCCCAGGGGCAGAATAGCGGGAAGGGTGGGCTTTCAGACTCGTCTCCTCTTCACCTTGCCCTCCTTCCTGCCTCCTGCACCTGCCACTGATGGTTTCCCTGCTTCTCATGATGCTATCTCTGCTGGGGAGCCCATGCCTTACAGCGCCACCCTCGCTGCCTGCCCCTAAAATCATCCTGTAAACCTTCCTTCCAAGTGCTGAGGACATAAAGGGATAAGGCGCAGGCCTCGGTAGCCATACCAAACTTGCAAGCGCCTTCAGCCTGAAACGTCGGTGTGTATGCTCTTATGTAGTTCAGTAAAATGTGCACTGGAAATTCCAGGTTGAATGTCAGACTTTATTCAACATTTCTCATTATAAAAATAATCATTTATTAAATGGGAAAGTTATTAATGTTAACCAAAATGCTAACCAAAGCAACTTAATTTTACTTAACTCACACTAGCTAAGAAATATATTTTCTCCAGGTTTTTTGTGTTTTTTTGTTGTTATCTCTATATGGCAGAAGACTATTCCTAAAGGTATGCATTTAGCCATGTATTGGCGCAGATAACCATTTTCATGGCAGCATGTATTGCTCTGTATTAAATGGAGACCCTCCCAGCACCAGGACTGGCAGCAGCAGCCAGTGCTGACCTGGAAGGTGCTGAAAACTCCAGCTGGCGGCAGGATGGACCACGTGTTGCCATCAAGGGGCTGACATGCTCGGACTTCTTCATGAAGTGTGGACAGTCCCTTTTGGACCAGTGGAAATAGTCTTGTCATTCTTTTAAAATGGACCAATGGAAATAATAAAGTGGAAGATATATTTAAAAACTGTCAGCCGAATTTTTCAGTAAGTTGCTCAGTCTTCTCAATTGCTTTAAGTTTGAAAACATCTGGGTGACTAGAGTTTCATGTCGATTCCAAGACGTTTGTTTCCACTGAATTTTGTGAGGAGATGGAATGGGTGCTCTCAGAACAGTGGAAGGTGCTGCTGGGAAAGGCCTCGTGTGAAAAGTGGGCTGGGGTCGGTCACGAGAGAAGTGTGCCGAGGGGACGAGGTGTCTTGCCACCTCATTTGAGACCATGTCAGATTGGAATTGGAGCCTGAATGGAAGTTTTTGGCTGTCGCTGTCCTGGGTCTGGTTCCAGGCATGGCTTCTCGCTTCCCCACTGCTTTTTTTTTTTTTTTGAGTTGGAGTCTCACTTTGGTCCAGACTGGAGTGCAGTGGCCGCTCCCAGCCACCGCAGCCTCGACCTATAGCCTCCGGCGATCCTTCCGCCTCAGCCTTCCAAGTAGCTGGAACTACAGGCGCACGCTACCACACCCGGCTAATTTTTTGATTTATTGTAGAGATGAGGTCTCACCAAGTTGCCCAGGTGGGTCTCGAACCCGCGGGCTCAGGCAATCCACTTACCTCAGCCTCCCAAAGGCGCGGAATTACAGGCTGAGCCACTGAGCTCAGCTTCCTCACTGCTTTTTAATGGTCCTGGAAAAGGCTGGGAGGCCCGGCCACAGTAGCAGGCCCTGATTTGGCTCCGTTTTCTCATGAAGAGCTGCACAGAGCAGCCAGCCGTGGAAGGGGGTTCTGGGCTACACTGTACCACACGAGGAGGCCCAACTCCAGGAGCGGAGACTGGCCTTGGAAAACTGGACAGACGGTTGGGGGGTGGGAGGGTGCTGAGGGTGGAGAGGTGGAGGCCATCGCAGAGGACAACCTGGGTTCTCCTCAGAGAGGTGGGAGAAAGGAGAACATGCCAGAGCATTCCAGATGGGAGAACAGTGGCAGAAGGAAAGGATGTGTTCATGGGGGTGGGGGCTAGGGGTGGTGGTTCTGGCCCTACCGGAAGGTGTGGGTTGGGGGAAGGAAAGGGAGTGTGGATGATTGCTGAGCCCAACAGAGCACCCTAAGAGGTGGAGGTGAAGGGGAGGGTTGGTGCTATTAGGAGACTGGGAGCAGAAGTGGGCGCACGTGCACAGCAGGCAGGTGAGAGCAGCCCACACCTGTGCGATGGTGTATAGGACTCATCAGGCACCCCCAATGCCGATCACACTGCATGTAAAATTCTGTCTGCTCTCGGCTCTTGAGACACTGCCCTGTTTTGTCCACTTTCCTTCCTGTATGTCCTGTGGATACTTCCTATCCATCCCCAGCAACTGAACAGATGTATCAAAAGCAAATACCTGGTTGCTTCCTTCATGCCAAGGCAACTGTGGTGTGGCTAGATGGGGACCAGGTCTGGGTTTGGGAAATCTGCCACATTTACTATGTCTCTCAGGCTCGTGGGGACCAGAGAGATGAAGGTTGTCTTTATGTCTTCAGCATCTAGCAAAGGTCTTGCCATGGAAATAAAAATTCCCAAAAAAAGTCGAGTGTGGTGGCTCACACCTATAAGCCCAGCACTTTGAGAGGTTGAGGTGAGAGGATTGCCTGAGCCCACAGGTTCGAGACCAGTCTGGGCAATTTGGCAAGACCTCATTTCTACAGTAAATAAATAAATTAGCCGGGCGTGGTGGTATGTGCCTGTAGTTACAGCTACTTGGAAGGCTGAGGCATACGGTTCACCTAAGCCCAGTGGGTTGAGGCTGAGGTGGTCATGAGCATGCCACTGCACTCCAGTCTGAGCGACAGAGTGAGACTCTGACTCAAAAAAAAAAAAAAAAAATATATATATATATATATATATATATCCCCCAAATGTATTCTGCTGCATGAATGCCAAAGGCAAATGCAACAGTCTGTGTTTTGGGGTCCACACCCAGTGTTCCTGTGGCAGCCTCGTAGCATGGGTTATATTTGCTGCTGTGGCAGGGCAAAATGAGGCGCCAAGCTGATGCGATCAAGAGTTGCTGAGGCAAGAATGCAGCAGCACCTCCTTGCACTGGGCACTTGCCATGGACCGAGGAATCTCTTGATGTCAACAGAGGCCCAGTACCTGCCATCAGGAGCGCTCCCAGGCGGTAGTCAAGGCGGCTCTCCGCTTCTGAAATGTCACCTCAGGTTATTAGGAAGCCCCTTTCTGATGGGCATGCCCCTCACTGCCACCTTGGACCCCGATGGCTCCAGATGCAGCAGGGCGGCCATCCTACCGTCTTCGTGTGCTTCAGCCCCACCCAAAGAACAGTACGAGGCACCGTTCCTGCAGGTTCTCCATCTATCTGCTTATCAACAAGCTGTTTTCCAGGGTGGTCACTTGGGTTTCCAGGGTTTGCAGGCTTGGCCCAGAGCACGATCTCAAATGTGTGCCTCTACTCCTACTACCCGTGGTGTGGATGGTACCTGCTCATCCCAGCCTGAGGGGTAGACCCACCCATCAGGCCTGGCATCTGGGAGGGCAGGTGAGCCCTGCCAGGCAGCGGCCTTCACTGATGGAGCATTAAGACGTGTTTTTCTACCTCAAGGCCTGCTCCTGAACCTGAGGTTTCTCCCCACAGGGAGATGCTGAGCTCCCAACAGCAGACACTGTCGTCTGCAGCTTCTCTTTCTGCACCCGGGGCCAGCCAGGGTCCAGCACACGCCACTGTGGATGCAGAAGCCACACCCACAGGCTGAGGAGCGCCCCCTTCAGGGGCTGCAAGGGGTGTGAGGGAGGTTCCCTTTGGGCCTCTAGGCAGCCTGAGCCCCACTCCCCACCAAACTCCTCTGCACAGGGCTCCTCATCAGGGAGCTTGGCAGTTCTGGCGTGTGTGTGTGTGTGTGTGTGTGTGTGTGTGTGTGTGTGTGTGTGTGTGCGCGCGCCTGCCCCCTGCCTAGTGCAGTGCTGGCCTCAGTGCTGAAGGTTCTACTCCAGACCTGAAGACAAGGCCCTGCGGGACTGATGCCAGAAAATAATGGGCACCCCCAAGCAGGGGTCCCTGCTGTCACCCAGAGGGCATAATGACGTGGTTCCTCGCTCCCTGGCCTCTTCAGAGGCCACTCCCCGTTCAAGTGACACTACAGAGCCAGGGCAGGTGCTGGCCACCCCGGATTCCTGGAGCCCCAACTCAAAGGAAACTGGGGCTCAGTCTACAAAACAAACAGGCCATACTCAAAAGCACTTTTAACTTCTAAAAACGTGTATTTTTCAGTCCTTTTTGAGGGTCCTCGTGACAGTTTGCCAAAACGACCGGGCTCGGTGACTTTTGTAAAAAGCCATTTCCTCTCAACAGGAAAGGCCCAGCTTCGCGGGGCTGGGGAGGCTTGGGCTGTCAGCCTTGAGATCCTGGGGCTGGGATGGTCCCAGGATGGGCCAGGCGGCCACAAGGCCTTCAGTCCGGGGCGGGCGGGAAGTGAAACCACCACCCCAAGAGACAAAGGCAAGGGGAGAGGCGCGCGCTCTGCTCCCCAGAC